GTATAGACCAATGGGACAGAATTGAGAGTCCAGAAATAAATCCATGCATATGTGGTCGACTGACCTTCCGCAAAGTACCAGGAACACACAATGGGGAAAGGATAGTCTCTTCAACAAATGGTGCTGGGAAAACTGGATATCCACATGCCAAAGAATGAAATTGGACTCTTACACCACACACACACAAAAATAACTTCAAATGTATTAAAACTTCAGACCTGAAACTGTAACTTGTCAAAGAAACCATAGGGGAAAAGCTTCATGACATTGGTCTTGGCAGTGATTTCATGGATAGGACATTAGAAGCACAAAAGCAAAAACAGACAACTGGGACTACATCAAATGAAAAAGTTTCTGCGCAGAAACGCACACACACACACACACACACACACACACACCCCACACAACAGTGAAAAGCAACTTACAGAATAGGAGAAAATATTTGCAAACCACATATCTGAATGGGTTAATTTTCAAAATATATAATATATAATACCTGGATTGAAAAAAATGAGCTAAGGACTTGAATGGACATTTTTCCAAAGAAGACATACAAATGGCCAACAGGCATATGAAAAGGTGCTCAATGGCACTAATTATCAGGGAAATGCAAATCAACACTGCTTCACGCCTGTGAGGACGGCTATTATTACTATTAAAAAAAAAAAGACAAGTGTTAGAGAAATAGCTATTCTGAAAGACAGTTAAACAAGAAGCTAAAAATAGAACGACCATATTATCCACAATCCCACTCTGAGTATTGATCTAAAAGAACTGAAGTCAAGATCTCAAAGAGACATTAGCGCTCCTGTGCTCACTGCGGTAGCCAAGATGTCGGAACGACCTACATGTCCACTAACAGATGAACAGATTTAAGAATGTGGTATACCCATACAATGGAATACAGTTGAGCCTTGAACGCAGGGGTTAGTGGCACTGACCCCCTGTGCAATCGAAAATCCACATATAATTTTGACACCCCCAAACTTAATAGCCTACTGTCGACCAGAAGCCTTACCAATAACATAAACAGTCAATTAATGCATATTTTGTATGTTATAGGCATTATACACTGTATTCGTACGATAAAGTAAGCCGGAAGAGAGAAACTATTACTAAGAAAATCCTAAGAAAGAGAAAATACATGTACAGAGCTGTACTGTAAAAACTCTGGATGTAAGTGGACCCCCAGGGTCCAAACCCACGTTGTTCAAGAGTCCACTGTACTATTCCACTTTATAAAAGAAGGAAATTCGGCAGAATGGGACAGCCTGGATGAACCCGGAAGACATTATGCTAAGTGAAACAAGCCAGTCACAGAAGGACAAATACTGCATATTTCTACTTGCACAGGGTATTTAACATAGTCAAACTTGTAGAAGCAAAGAATAGAATGGTGGAAGCCAGAGGCTGGGAGCAGAAGGGAGTGTGAGCAGCTAATTGCCACGCACAAAATTTCTGTTATGCCAGACGGATAGATTCTAGAGATCTGCTGCGTGGCATTGTACCTAGAGGTTAACAATAACTGTAATGTACACTTAAGAATCTGTTCAGAGGGTAGGCTACATATTAAGTGTTCTTATGACAATAACATTTCATTAACATTAAAAACATTTAAAAAAGAGGGGCACCTGGCCGGCTCAGTCGGTAGAGCATGTGACTCTTGATCTTGGGGTTTTAAGTGTGAGCCCCACGCTGGGTGTAGAAATTACTTTAAAAAAATGTTAAAAAACATAAAAAAAGAGCTCACGAAGCAAACGCGAGCAGTAAACAGGAGGGCAAGGAGGTTCCTGCACCTTCCAGGCACCAATTATACTCTTCAATCACTTTGAAAACCACCTTGGCACAGCCATTTGCACTTAGACAATGAAAAGTGCTCACTGAACATGATTCTTCTCCATCCCTCAAAGAGAGATCTGATCGACGCATGTTATTTATGGCAAAAGCGGAATCAGTTCCACGATGGCCTATTTGGCTTCTGCTGTGTAGCAGGCGCTGGGCTAAGGACCGAGGAGAGAGAAAGGTGCTTCATGAGGCAGGAGCAGAATGTCAAGAGCAGAGAGAGGCTCCAGCAGTCAGACCTGGATTCCGAAGCAGACTCTGCTGTGGGGCCCAGAGCAAGCTGCCTGACCTCTCTGTTCTCTAGCAACCGGGGATGATAATCTTCAGAGTTAAAAGAGAAAAGAATGCATCATGTGCTTGGGACCAATGCCTTTCACTGTACTGTTATCATGACTAAATACTAAATTGCTAAATAAATTAAATACTAAATTACCCAATACTAAAATACTAACTAAGGCACCACGGAAAGGCCGGAGCCTCAAGAATGGAGTGCAATGCCTCGTTCTTGGGAGCTGTCCCTGTGCTCTGCTGGGGGTGGGGGTGGGGACTTCCCAGAAGAGGGGACTTGGGCTGGGCCTGGGAAAAGGTGTTATGGCCACGAAGAGAGAGACTCCAGGGATGGAGTCCAAGGTCTCAAGCTTGAGTAACTGAGAGAACAGTTAATTCAACTAGGTCAGAGTGTGCAAGGAAAGGCCCAGGGACTCCCTCCAGGGCAGGGTGCCTCTCAGAGCCCTCGGTGGCCTCCAGTCTGAAGGGGCTTTGGGGCCAAGCGCACACTCAATCTTAAAGGGGCATGGGGGTCAGTGAGGCCCAGGTCCAGCGAAGGTGGCCTCTGTGAGCTGAGGACCCCAAGGTTGTGGTAGGGCTGTGATGATTTTCTTCCTCTTAGGTTTGTGCTAAATGAGACTTTTTTTTTTTTCAACGTTTATTTATTTTTTGGGACAGAGAGAGACAGAGCATGAACGGGGGAGGGGCAGAGAGAGAGGGAGACACAGAATCGGAAACAGGCTCCAGGCTCTGAGCCATCAGCCCAGAGCCCGACGCGGGGCTCGAACTCACGGACTGCGAGATCGTGACCTGGCTGAAGTCGGACGCTTAACCGACTGCGCCACCCAGGCGCCCCTAAATGAGACTTTTCACACCAAGATGGCCCATGGGTCTGTGTTTTATTCAGAAGCTAGAGGAAAGGGGAGGAGGAGAAGCCATGGAGGTGTGCAGAAGCAGGGGATACAATGGGTGGCCCATGACTGTAAGAAAAGGCAACCGGGTGAGTTCTGGGGCTGCTGCCTTGCTGCGAGGGGGCAGGAAGTAAGGGTCTGGGCCCACACCAGGACCTGGACTGTGCAGAAAGGCCCTGGGGAAGAGCTCTGGCCACATCTTGTTGGAGGGGCTTGAGGCATGACCTGGATGTGTCTAGTGGGCAGCCGGCAATGTGGGCCTGGGGTGGTTCTGGGAATTGGGAGGACCCAGGGTAGGGGTGGGCCCAGTAGATTTGGGGTCGGCCATCTGCATGGCCTCAGGGGAATACCCTAAGCTCTTCCACGGAGAGAGAGGCAGCAGCAGTGGCTTTGGCTTCTAGAAACTTCTTAGAGCTGGCCCAACCTGCTTTGGGAATGTCAGTCAGGCCTAGGTATGAGTGTGTGTGTGTGTGTGTGACAGATAAGGTAGGGGAGGCAGCAACAGATTCTGCGAATTCAAGTGTCTATCTCCAGGGAGCTGGCAAAGGCACAGGGCCCCCCTTCATGCCCCCATATTTTCTTAAGGCCCTGTTTTAGGGAAGCTAAGTTCTCTATTTATTGGAAAGAGCCCTAGATTGGTCGGTGAGAAGCTCCAGGCCAGCCCTGGCATTGACTGGCTCTGTGTCCCTCTGGGCAGGGCTCTCAGCCTCTGTGTCCCTTTAAGATTGGGCATGTGCCCAGTCCTAAGTCAGCCTGGAGGACACCCAGCTCTCTGAAAGCCACCGTGCCTAAGAACAAGTCCCTTGGGCATTTCCTTCCACACCCTGACCTACTTGTCCTGGTGCTCTTAGCACCCACTCCACACCGTGTCTTTCTCCCTAAACCCCTTCAGGGCCAGCAGCATGATCCCGCTCTACAGGTCAGGAGCCAAGGCTCAGGGCAGGTGAGCTCTCTCCTGAGATGGAACGGCCGAAAACCGGCAGAGGCAGGATTTGAGCCCCGGCCCGGTGCTCTTGAACCACCTCACCGTGGGCCCCGAGCAGACGGCTTGGAGCACGGGGCTCCGGTTTCCTCTTTTCACAAAATGGTGAAAGCCACAGATGAACTATGTACTCTCCAAGTTTACCGTGAGCGTGGCAGGCACCTTTGGGTTTGTGACACCGTCCTGAAAGGTTTCATGTACCCAACAAGCGTGCATTAGGGGAAGCTCCTCGGTTTCTGCGCAGATCTCCTGGCACCTTCCGGATCTCACACCCCAAAGTTCGCGCTACCTCAGGCGGTGTTAGAAGCGTCCTGGCAGCCAGGGCCGGCGCTCGGCTGTAGCCCTGCCTCCTGCTGCTCGGGGAAGCAGGTGATGGCAACACCAGGAGGTGCCCAGATCACGCAGAGGGAACGTGTCGGGGCAATCCAGGTCACTGCCCTCGAACAGCGCCGCTCCCTGCCTTGAGCTGGGCTGCCAGGGGCACAGGGCGACTCAGGCAGGGGTGGGAGGGCCCCAAGAGGCCATCCTGCTTCCGAGAGGGCCGCCTTCCAGCCACCCCCGAGGGACGGCAAATGCAAAGCTATGGCCTCTCGTGGTGCTGCGTTCAAGTTTGCGACGCTTTGAGAACGACACACGGTTGGAAGAGGCCGTTTTCTGATTCTGAGAAAGAACTCTGAAACCAGGCGCGTTCGTTAAGAAGTATGTCTGGCTACGAGACTGACGGGTTTCCAAGGTGCCCGGGGGAGGTCCGCGTGCTCTGCTCTAGCCAGTGTCTGCACCGCCTGGGGCGAGCACCCTGCTCCCTAGAAGTGGATGCTTCCAAGACATTCACAAATACCCCTTCCCTTCTCTTACACTGCTCTATTATCTTCTTCCTTTCAAAAACACAAAAAATGTCCCTTGACGCCACCCCTCCCCTGTAGGTGACAGGTTCCTCTTTCCCTGTTGCCTTTCACAGAAACACTTCTCCAAAGACTTGTCCGCACGCACGTCCTCACCTCCACTGACTCCGCAGCGTGGCCTCACGTGGCGTCCGTGCTCGCCCCACTGACACCACGGGCCCCCGACCTCCTTGTTGCTAAACCCCGGCCGCTTCTCTGGCTGGTCGGATTGACCCCCCTCCGCCGCTCCCGAGGCTGCTCCTCCCTAGGTCCCAGGGCCGCTGCTGGGAGTGGGAGGGGGCAGCACATGTGACGGGTTGGCACCAGCTCCCGGTAGGATGATTCTCAGCCCTCCTGGAGCCTCCTCTGACCCGCGCCCTCCTGGTTGGCCTTCCCGCCTCCTGGCCACTCCTCCATCTACCCTCACTCCGTGGGTCACCCTATCTGGTCCCCCGCCTGGAGCACCAGGTGCACACTGTCACTTTACACAACGCTCAAGTCCATGTCCCCAGGGATCCCGATGGCTTCCTGATCTCCAGACACTTCTATCTGAGCAACCGCGGGACAGCTCCCTGGTGACTACGAGGTCACCCAAACAGAAGAAAACGACTCCTGGTTTTCATCCCCACTGTGTTTTTCTTCCAGGCCTTCCCATCCCAGAAAATGGCGCCACCAGGCCGATGAACCGGGAGCCCACGTCCCTTCCTCCTTTCCCCGAAATCTCACGTCAGCAGGTCCCGTCGGTTCCAACTCAAAAACACAACTGGAATACAGTCCCCCTCTACACCGTCACGGCTGGGTTCCGAGCCACCACCCTGTCACCAGACGACACCAACGGCCCCGTAAGGCGCTCCCGGTTTCTGTGTTTGTCCCTTCCAATTCTGGCCCCCGGGCGTAGCCAGGGTGACCTTCTGCAGTGGTAGGGCAGGCCGCCCCTGACCTGTACCTGGTAGGGCAAGGCCACCCCTGACCTCTTGCTTCTCAAAAGCTTCTCGGCAATTCTTGTTTCTTTCTTTTTTTTAGGTGAAATTTAGAAGCAAATAATTCAACGGCAAACCAATCCAGACCAAAGATCCACTCATTCAGTTCATACTTCCTGGAGGCCTCCTCCCTGCAGGCAGTGTTCTAGATTGTGAGGTCTGAGTTAACAATACTTCCCTTTGGACGGCTCTTGCCCTTTATACAAACCGAGTAAATTACAGCCTGGCTTTCGTAAACAGAAGCCCGGGGACTTACGTTTCTCTTTACCAAGCGATTGATCGTGAGGTAAGTGGTACCGGCCCCGTAGCTTTCCCCGGGCATCCGGGTTTTGCTTACAGACATTCCAAGGTGACGTTGTCGGCGCCGGTCGCTTACCTCCCTGAGGCAGGTGTAGATGGGGCAGACGAGCACGCGGAAGGGCTCGCCCGTGCTGCTGCGCATGGTGCCGAACACCTCGCACAGGAAGGTGATGAAGCCAAGCCAGCGCTCCACGTCTTGCTGCTGCAGCTCCTCCCGCACCGTGAAGTCCTTCTGCGGAGGCACAAGAGACCGGGTCAGCCTCGCCAAGGTCAACCCGCTCAGCCGTAGCGCCTACCGGCTAAGGGCTAGTCCGAGGCAACTGGTCAACCCCATGCTTTCAGTGGCTGGAGGGTGACTGCTGGGGACTCCAGAGCCACCCCGACCTGCGTCCACAGCGCCTCTTCCTCAGTTTCCAGATCGGGGGCCCGTCAGCCTTGCCTCGCTGACCCCAATGGCGAGGTGGGGGAGTGAGATGAAGGCGAGATGACACCTCTCCCAGAGGCATCGCCTCGCCCATTCCACCCCCTCTGGTTAACCTCCAAAGCATGCCCGCCACCTGAGGGAGGGTAACCAGAATATTGTCCTGCACGTCAGCCATTAGTGACTGAGGCCTGTCAGGGCTCCGGCACTGGGCTAGAGACAGCTACAGCCCCTGCCTGCTTAGGGCAAGTAGCAAGATTAGAGGCACTCATTTATCTTCCTTAAAAATAGTATCGCCCCATTGTGTGCCAGGCTCCGTTTTAAGGACTAGGAAATGACATGTTCACTCATAACTGTGATACAAGAATGAAGGTATTAAAGCTACTGGGGACAGGGGGGTCATTCTAGGTGAAAGGTCTCTGGGAGCTCCGAGGCAGAAGTTATCACTTCCAATTGGAAATCAAGGCCACAAAAAAGCTAGGATTCCGACAGGGGTGGGGTGCGTCTGGTGGGGAGAAAAACGATGCAGGGGGGGTAACATGGGTGTTTGGGAAACAGGGAGGTATAACCCAGCCTGGGTCCGGCATGGGTGGCATAGAGAGGACAAAACAGGAGGCAGGCCTGAGAAAGAGGGTGGGGCTAGAGTACGGACAATTGAAACCAGCCCAGGAGCTGCATTCTGTGTGATGGTTGGCAGAGGAGGTTTTGGGGTGTGTGCGTCACGAAAGGCCACGGTCATATCTATGCTCCTTACAAGGTTAATATGGCATGGATATGGAGACCAGACGGAGGCCACCGCAAAAGCGCAGGCTGCATGAAACCTGAACTCCCTGGCATCTGTGAGACGAGACTCTGTGGTAGGTTAGATTATATTCAGAAATATATCTCCCCTGCCCCTTGTCTTTGGGTTCGGCCATATGACTTGCTTTGGCCAACAGAATAAGCAGAAGTGACAGGTCGCCGGTTCTGATCCCAGGCCTTAAATGGCCTGATATTTACTCTCCCATGCTTCTCTCATTGTCATGGGAAGGCCATCCGGGGGCCGGTCTGATGGTCCCAAAGGGAAGATGAGAGACCCGCGAAGCAGGGCCCCACCCAAGTCTAGACGAGATCAGGTGACCCCAGCCAACTTGGAGGCACATAAGACAAGACAGCAAGGTGTGCCGTTAGGATTTCTGTGGGTGTCTGTCGAGCCGCAATAGCTGCCTGATACAGGATTGGCACATTGTCAAGATAAGGAGTCACAAAGCGATGGATTGCAGGGCTGATGGAAAAGGAAGACTCAAAGGTGATACCAAGATTCTGGATCTGGGTGACTGTGCCACCAAGAGGAACGGACACGGGACGGCACACGCTGTAGAATGGGCGGCAGGCCGTTCCCACCGCCCAGTACCCGCCCCCTTGCTCATTTCGGCCGCACATTCTCCTTGCTGCCAGAATCTCACAGAAGACGTGGTTCACGTCTGCGCCTTGTGCGTGACGGAAGTGCCATCTAGAAGCCTAAAAGGGCAGACGGGGCCGCAGCCTCCTTGGCTGGCAAATTCGGGCTGGGTAAGAAGATCTCCAAGAGATGTCACTCGGTTTCTGCTTCTGATGAGCCCGGGTCACGGCTTATAATTTCACAGTTTGACCAGTTTAAAGCGTGTGTGTATATCAAACAATAGTGACAGCAGCCACTGCCCTTGCACCAGACACTGAGTCAAGTACCCTGTTCATATTCGATCATCACAATGATCCCATGAGGTAGGTCTTATTATTGCCCCATTTAATAGATGGTGAAACGGAGGTTAGAGAAGTTTGCCCATGGCAGAGCTGGGATTTGAACCCAGATCTGCCCGCTTTGGACAAGCTTTTCTTCCTCTTTCTTTTTATTTTTATTTTAAAAGTTTTCAGTGTTTATTTTTGAGAGAGAGAGAGAGAGAGAGAGAGGGAGAGACAGAGGGGGAGGGGCAGAGAGAGAGGGAGATAAAGTCTGAAGCAGGCTCCAGGCTCCGAGCTGTTGGCACAGAGCCCCACGTGGGGCTCGAACGCACGAACGATGAGATCGTGACCTGAGCTGAAGTCGGACGCTTAATTGACTGAGCTACCCACGTGTCCGTAAATGTTTGTATATTTTTGAGAGAGAGAGAGGGAGAGAGAGTGCAAGTGGGGAAGGGCAGAGAGAGAGAGGGAGAGAGAGAGACGGGGACAGAGGATCCGAAGTGGGCCCTGCACTGAGAGCAGGGAGCCCAGAGGGGCGGCCTGGTGGTGTTTTAGGTACCTGTGAATGAATACATGACTTTGCCCACCACCCTAGGCCTATAAAGGGCCCTGGACTGCTGTCCTAGAAGTCATGAATCTTTAGGTCATTTCATTCTCATTAGCCTGTGTTTGTCCCACTATAACCTTGTGTGGTCAGAGCAGAGGCAGACATTAGTGTTTCAATGTTCGAATGGGAGAGACTAAGGCTCAAAGAGGTTATAAGACTGGATCAAGGTCACTTAGCATTGGAATCTGAGTAAGAACCTCTGCCCTACCATTGCTCTCGAAATACTGGCCTGAAGGCTCTCAGCCTTGGTTGCACGCTGGAGTCACCTGGAGGAACCTGGAAGCTACAGATGTTTGGGCTCCGCTGCAGAGAGGTTTGTGTCATTGGCCACGGTGGGGCCAGGACCCTGGTAATCCGTGAAAGCCTCCAGGTGATTCCGTTGTGCAACCGTGGCTGAGAACCACAACTCCTGGCCTTTATAAAGTGCCGACCTGGGAGTCAAGTCGGGGCCCTCTATCAGTGCCTGAGTTATCCTTTCCCCATCTCCCAGAAAAATGCCTGTGCAGGCGGACGTAGAAGAAGAAATCCCCACGACAGCACTGAGAAGGAAGATAACAGTTCACCAACAGACTCCTCACCAGACTCGGGAGGTTGACGCCACTAACTAAAGTGCTGTCATGAAGAAGCTCTTGTTGCCCAGAGCAGCTTAGCCTCCTCCCCAGAAGACCAAAGTCAAGGGGTAGATGGGCAGGCAGCTTGGCCTTCAGCCCTTCCCCGTCGGCCCCTGGCTGGTAGGCAGTCTGTGGCTGCTTTCGCACCCCGTCCCACGCACCATGGCAGCTCCTACCAGCACTGCTCTTGCCCTGGTCACTAGGGATTCAGGGGCCGAAGGCACCCTGTGTCCTCAGAGGCGCGATACTATCAGGCAAAGCGCTCTCAGTCAGGAAAAGGCTTGGGGCTGTGCATACCAGAAGCCAGAGTTTAAAAAACCGATCACATCTGATCAAAGAACTACAGCTTGACTCAGTTTCCTCCTGGTAATCAGTGGCCCCAAGAGAGGACTCTGTTTGGGGCTGGCAAAACGCACTAGGAATCTGAACACCTGCTAAATACTGGAAATCACATTTGGGGTGTGCACGTGAAACCACCCACAGAGAGGAAGACTCGACCGCTGCCACAGCAGACATCGAGAATTCCAAGGATGATCCATACGGCTAACCCCAGAACCAAACTGAGCCTCTGTCATTCAAGGGTAAGGGAAGAGAAAAGCAATCTGCCCTCTGTGGGAAAAGCCTGCACCGCAGAACAGGGGCTCGCCACCCTGAAGGCCTAATGGTAATGCATGGCTTTGAAAATGAAAACAAGGTGCCAAGAATAAATAAAGTTAAAAATTCAAGTACAAAACATGGTGGGCTTTTAGGTCCCGAAGGGCAATAGCATTGGTTCTGTGACAGGTGGAGGGGCGTTCACAAGTAGGGACCACGACTCGCTAAAAGCCCCAAGCAGAGAGGAAGTGTTAAGATGGGAGCCGGCGTTCAGGGAAAACCGAATGGGAATGAGGAACACAGTGGCAACATGGGGACGTGAGCCGAAGGCAACAAAGGACGGAATGGGTTCTGCAGAAAAAGTCGTACATAAGACAAACTTGGAAAATAACTAGAAAGCTGAAGATGGATGAAAAGGAAATGAAAAAGGAGAAGACTGAGTGGACGGTTGTCTAACCTATGAATTACAGAGGTTTTCAAAAAGGATCCCAGAATAGATGGGATACAGAGAGCAGAGCGAAACACTTTGAGTTGAAAACCAGAAGTCAAAGAGTACACTCTTCGGGTGGAAGGGGCGCATGGCATTCCGGAGCCCCACCATTGATACTTAGCAGGAGAATTTTCTTTTTTAATTTCAAGAAAAAGAAAAATTCTAAAAACAGCTTTGATCGGGGCGCGG